GCCCGCCTGACCATTCTATGTCCCCACCACTCTCTCTCTAACCCTGCACCCAGCTTTGTTTTTGTTTGCCGCACTCATTACATTATATATTTACTTGCTTTTTGTTTGTCTTCCACTAGGTGGAAACTTCTTGAGAGCCGAGACTTTGTTTTCTTCACTACTGTGTTTCTGGTGCCTGGCATAGACTAGGTGCTCGTTAAATTATTATTGGAGGAATGAGTGGATTCTGTGAATACAGCAGGCCTGAATGAATGGGTGGATGGGACTCAACCACTACAGGTCTACATATTCATGGCCTCCCTCTGTCTGAGCTACAAAGGGAAAGAAATGGCTACCCCTACCAAAGAGGAGTATAGCCGAAGAGGCCGCAAAAGAACAGAATTCAAAGCCCCTCCTGCCTCAGATTATCAACATGCTTAGGTCTTTTGCCAAAGCCATGAACAATCTGGACATTTAAGAACACAAATTAATCTTGTAAAATGTAATAGATATTTAAGGTAGTTAATTCCAGCAAAAAGAATACCCAATAAACAAGTTTTCCTTAAATAGGACGACTATGTAAGCCACATATAGCTTATGTAAGTACCAATCATATTATCTGCATCATCCTTTTGAGAAGAGTAGAAAGACACGTTCAACCCAAGCTGTCCACACAGTAGAGCAATTCATTGTTTCAGCCCCCACCTGGGGCTGCCTCTGGCACATGGCAGCTGTTGGGCAGTGACCCAGAAGTAGCCGCGTGAGTGAAGAGTTAGCTTTGGCAGCAGGAGCTGTAAAAGACCTGACCTGTGCTCACACAGGTAGCCACTACAACTGCCCTTTCACCCGGTTAGGTCTGCCCCATGTAGCTGGTCCTGAGCGCTTCATGGCTCCCTAGGGCTGGGACGGTGTACGGTGAGACATTCTGGGTCATGTATCCAGGCCATATCCATTAAGGGATTCCCTTTCTGCTCTGCAGCTAAGTTTTAATACTGCCTAAAATAATTGAATGCGTATTTGTGCATTCACCTAAAAAGTAAAAAGCCTTTAAAGTCAGGCCTTTAGAGGAACTGGAGAGAGCACTGAGTGTCTGGGAGACTGTCATCGATCATTCATAATCCAGCCTATGCCACCACAGCCCCCACGAGCTCTTCTCCCTAAATACTGGCTGCTGAATGGGCTAGTCCCACCTTCCTTCTCCTTTCTGGTGCCTCAGCCAGAGCACAGACTCTTTTCATTTTAAGGATTTTGTTTCCAATCACCATGTGGATATAGGGTTAAAAAAGTGAATATGCAAGAGTTTCCACTTCCAGGGTCTTGGAAAGCTATTACACCTATGGCCCTGGTATCATTTCTGACTTCTTCCAGAGATGGTAAGGGAGTCCCAGTTAGATTTCTGGTTTTTTCTTTCAGAAAGTAGAGTTTACCAAACCCTCTTGCTTCCTTCTGTTCCAGGCTTTCTGGAGACCAGGAGAGACCCTTTCTTTCCTTCTCTTAGAACAGATTTCACTGGAATTCCAAGTGATTGTTCTAAAATGCAATTAAACCAAAATTCTTCTGTCTTCCCTAGACACTTGACAACATGCTGGATGGATGGTACAAGCCCAACAGACTGCATTTGCTGATGGACCGATTGTAAATTACTTGAGCAGACTTCACTTTCAGACCCTCTTCAGTATAGACTGGACAACTTGTTGCTTTGTTGTTCTGAGCTTGCCCCAGTAGCCACCCAGCGGGGTTCCCCATCTGTGGCTTGATAGGAAACAACATTCTTTAGCAGCCTTGACGCAATTGGCAGGGCAATGGCCACAGCCTTCCTTTGTAAGCAGGAAGCAGGGGCATTAACTGTATTGTTTCTGGATGTTGGCATAAATGTGGTCCTGCCCTGTCATCCTTCACAACAAAACTTGAGGTTGAATCCCTTTTGTTGGCGCAGATAAGGGAGGGTATTGAGATCCATGGAAAACAGACAGGAGGACTCTGACAGATGGGGAAAGGGTCACCCCCACGGCAGGGAGTCAGCCTTGGACGTGGGTACTATAGCAACCCGCTGAGAATTATCCTGCGTATTAAAGGATGGTTGGATTCACTGGGTCTGCCCAGGCAGGGAACCTGGCTGCGTCTTTGTCAGCAGACAGACAAGAAGCTGGTTTGCAGCTGTGTGATTTGACACTTTGGTTGTGTTCAGACAGCTCTGTGCTGTGGAGAGGACATTACTCTTGAGTCTGACTGCATGCATGTATGTAAACCAGTGGCATACCCAAGGAGGGAGTCCATGGGAGCAATCCACTCCTGGTGCAGACGGTAAGCAGAGAATTTCTGTGTGTGTGCGTGCCGGTAGAAAATTTTCAAACAATAATAAAACTAATTAAAAGTCAGTTTGCTTTGTATTATTTTCATGCTCCAACAGCTCCAAACAATGTACCGTTGAGAGACCATTTCTCCCTCAGAGGGGCAGACGTCTCCCACACCCCTTCTCACACCCCCCTGGTACACTAGTGGGACAAACAAGCACCAGGTGGGGAGATTACAAATCAGTGAGAGTAAACAGAAAGCAAATGACCCCTGAGATAAGATAAGAAGTTTTTTTATCCCCCAAATTCCACTTTGTGCAGTTTAGAGAAGGTTGATCTGTCTGCCATGGGCCTTTCTCTTGCTTAGCTTTGGGTTTGGGTTATCTGTTGCTGCTTACAAAACCATACCAACATTTAGCGCCTTAAAACAGTAATCATCTATTTGTTCGTGATTCTGCAGTTTGACAGGGCTCAGTGAGGACGGCTCATCACTGTTCCATGCAGTGTCTGATGGAGTTGTAACTACCTAGAGGGCTGTCTCACCCCATGTCTCGTATCTCAGGTGCAATGAGCTAAACATCTAGGGGCTGGCCAGGCATGTCTCTCTTTCCATGTGGCTTCTCCACATCACTAGCTTGGGCTTCCTCACAACATGGTGTTCTCTTCTTTTGTGGTAGCTGGCTTTCCCCAGAGTGCAAAGCAGAGGTTGTCAGGCTTGCTTAATATCTGGTCTTAGACATCCTAGACATTATCTCTGCCACTTTCTATTGGTCAAGGATGTCACAGGGCCAGCCCACATTCAAGGGGAAGAAAAACAGTCTCCACTTCATCATGAAAGAAATATTGTTGTGACTCTCTTTGGAAGCACCATTTACCTCACATTGTTTTCTCTGTCATAACAAAGTATTGTATGCTTTCACATTTTGCCTTTAACAGTGATAAACCTTACCAAATTGGACAAGGTAGGTCTCAAATTACAAATTAGACCTTTAGAATTATCATGACTTTGTTCTGAATGGGAGGATGGTCTCTTCATGGATTCCTAAGAAGTAGCAAGAGATTATGGAGCTCCAAAGGTAGCAATGATATTTGAGAGAAAATATTGGGGTGAGCCTGATTTGCCAAAACCTAAAATCTAAAACCTACTTGATTCCATGAGATTATCCAATCCAAGTTACAGCCTCAGTCTACCTCCTGAGAAAAGGTCAAATGACCACCATATTTTCACTATTATTTCTGGGTATCAGACAATCCTCTGAACTTTGATTTACATCCTTTGAAACCAATATTGTTGGGGCGCCAAGGTGGCTGTTAGTTAAGCATCTGACTTCAGCTCAGGTCATGATCTCATGTTTCCCGAGTTCCATCCCCATATCAGGCTCAGTGTCTCCCCCTCTCTCTGTCCCTCCCCAACCCACTCTTTGTCTCTCAAAAAATGAATAAATGTTTAAAAAAATTTTTTTAAACCAGTATTGTTGGAAATCGGTTGACCTGAGGATTCATGTGAGAGAATGGTGAGAGTCTTTCAGACACTGTATGATATACACCTGAGCAGTTGCTATAAATTTCACCCTAGGTCAGAGAATTGCATCTTAGTCCAAACAGGAAGGGGGGGGGGAGGGGGGCGGGGTGATACATCAACATGACTTCCTTGTCTCCGCCAGACACAGTTAATCCATCTATCTGCATACAGAGCTTTGGTTTGGAAAGCATGTTCCAGCCCACTCTCTCATTTTCTTCTCACTATAAATAAATACACCGGTGAGCAGGTAGGGCCCTGCGTGAATGCCTGAATGCCGAAGGTATGCAGGTATGTAAACAGTAAGACAGAGGTCAGAACTTCCCTGGATCAAGTGGAAGCTTGGATGCAGAGCCACGGGGAGAAGCAGCTCTCCACACTCTTCTTCCCCCAGGGTTCTTCAGGTCCGCTGGAGCAGAAGCCGGCCAGACCACTGACCTCACTGCTTTCAGGTCTGGTCTGATGGCCTCTTCTGCTTTGCCTGCCTGCCTGTTGGCTGAATCCTGAGCCTGCAGGCAAGTTCAGTCTGCTCCCAGTGTCAGTCACCACAGGGCCCTGGGGCCTGGCTCAAAAAGGAAGTTAAGTGGGCCGGCATCCCCTGTACCTGGAGCCAGAATTTCCTTCCCAAGAAGGCCACCTGCCTTTACAGAGCCATGTCTAAGGCTTTACCCCTATATTGGCCTGAACAGGCCTCTTGGGGTCTCTGGCCTCCATCACTCTCAACGCTTTTCTTTTTTCCTGCTCACAGCAAAAATTGCTCTGTGTCCCTCTGTGCCCCTCAAATCCTTGGCCCCTGGACCCCTTACTGGGGCAAACGGGGCCACTGGGGTCGGGGCTCTTCCTCCCACCGTTCCTTACCCCTTTCTGATCGCCCCCAGACCCGCCTCGCCTCCCCTCCCGGTCGCCCCAGTGCCGGCACCCACCCCCCGCCCCCCGACACCCTTCTCGCCCTCCCTTCCGCTCGCCCCTCTTCTTGCCCCTCGGCTTTTGTTGCCCGGGCTTGTTTCTAACTTGAGAGCGTCGCCCGGCTGGGCGCCAGGTCACGTGCGTTAGTGACAACCTCTCGCAGGGCGGCCCCGGGCCCCCCGCGCCGCGGATTGGTGGGATCGGGCCTGGCGCGGCCCCGGGGCGGGGCGGCCGGGCGGGCGGGCCCGACGGGCGGGCGCAGCGGCCGATCAGCTGTTCCGAGCGCTGCACAACAACAAAAGGAGCGAGACGGGCGGCAGGCGGCCAGCGGCTCCGCACCGCGCCCGCCGGACCTGCCCCGCGCCCCGCGCCCGCCGGCCGGGGAGCCGCAGCTACCTCAGCAGAGCCCCGCGCCCCTGCGCGCCGGTGCCCGCCGAGCGACGCGCCCGCTGCCCTCGCCGTGTGTCCCCGCTGCCGGCCGGGCCCACGTAAGTGCGGGCGGGGCCGGCGCCCCCGGCCGCTCGCTCCCGCCGGCCCGCCGGCCTGGGGCCGGGCGCCCTCCGCGCCTCCCGCCTCTTCCCCTGGCGGCGGCCGGCCCGCGGCCCCGGGGTGCGGGCGGAGGCGGACGAGCCGGGCTCTGGGCGGCGGGTGGGTGTTCAGTTTCTGTCTCCTCCCGCGAGCGTGGCCTGTTTTCTTGGCCGCGGCGGGACCTCCTCCTCTTCTCACTCCTCCTCCTCCTCCTCCTCCTCCTCCGCTCGGCCGTTGGACTGGCGTCGGGGGCTGCGGGAGGAGCGACCTCGGCGTCCCGCTCCCCAGGCCTGGCGGCCCTCGCGGCACCGCCTCGCTCCCCGTAGCCCCGAGGGCCCTGCGGCGCCGGGAACCCCCCTTTCCTGCTCGGCGACCAGCGCCTAAGTGTCCCAGGTGACCGCCTGTCCGCCGCCTGCCCCTGGCCCTGCCCGGTCTTAAGCATCGCTGTGTGAGGTTGCACCTGTGGACGGGCACTGTGCTCGCCCGTCGGGAGGAAAATCCTACTCTGATCTCGGACGCCGATTGGGCCCTCCCTCTGTGCCAGATGCTTCGCGGAGGGCTTTGCGTGCCTCATCTCGTTGCTCCTCGCCGAGCCGCTCCGAAGTAGGCTTTATTATCTAGCGGATAGGAAACCCGAGGCCCAGAGAGATTAAGTTATTTTACTCGAGGCCTCACAGCCAATCAAAAGGAAGTGGTGTCTCCTCTTTCCAAGTTGCAGATGAATTTATATGTGGGCGTTGCTTGTTTTGTATTTATTTCCCAGTTACCTCCTTTCATCACCTTCTATGCTAATTCCAAATTAGGGTGGGTTAAGGAAGAGCCTCTTTCCATCTCTAACTTGCAGGAACTTGGGTGTTTGTTGCTAAAACAGCGTTTTCTGGATGCAGAGTAGTTTTGGAAAAGGGGAGGAGAAAGTGACCCACAGGGTCATTGAACAGTATTAATGAGGTACCCCAAAGTCCTGAAATCATTTCCGTAGTAATTGAAATACATTTTTCATCGCAGATGTGAAAAATCTCTGGGAAGCTTTTGATTTTTAAGTCACAGCCACTATAATTCTCAACGGGCAGCATAACTTTTAAGAGCCCATCCCTACCAGAAACCGAGACCTCATTAATTTATATGACCAAGGTCTCTTTTGTGTTTTCATCGTATCTTTTGTTCTTTTCTGTGAATGCTTGCTCTCGCACTCAATTGTTTCCTCCTCTTTCTCTTGGAATGGTCCTTCTTTCAAAATTTAAGGTTAAGAGGCTAGGAGTTACCGCTTATTGCTGTCTTTGTCCACTGTCATTCAGCCTTCAGGGCAGACAGTGGTGGGTCCCTGAGAGAAAAAGCTCCCTGTGACCAGTTGAATAGGCTGAGTAGAAGTGGAGCAAGCAAAGGCAGCTTTCCTGGCTTGGTTTTTCTGCAGTTTAAAATCAATCTTAAATTACTCAAACAAGTGTCTTTATTTTTCTAAAATAAGGACGATGGGATATAAACAAAAAATAATTTGGAGGCTGCTTTTCAGTGATGTATTAGTTCAACCACCTGATATTTCGAAACTGTCAAGAAGCCACAACTGTACACATAGTTCGAAGTTAGATCATCAAAGTTGTGGTTTGGGATTTTTTTTTTTTTTTAATTTAAAAATGTTGTTTTTGGAGCCGCCTACTGGCAGCCAAAATCAACTGAAAAGCACTGTTCTCTGAAGTTCATAGAACCGGAGTTGAGGCTAGAAGGAGCCTGAGAGCAAAATGATGTGCAGGGAAAAGCAAGACGCTTGGAACCACACCGACTTACGCTCTCCTGCTGGCTCCACACCTGACCAGCTCCTTCACTTCCAAGCACGTTACTTAATTTCTGAGCCTAATTTCTGAGCCTAGTTTCCTTATTAGTAAAACTTGACAAGTACCTCAACTCACTGTCATATACAACAAGTACTCAGTAGATTATAGCATTGTAGTTCTTATAAAACATTTGGCAGATAAAAGCATTCTGACCCAAAGATGCTAAATGGCTTAAGTGGACTTAAGTATTCCAAATTATGTTTCATATTCTGAGTTCATATTTACTGGCTGCCTTGCAATGTGTCAGGCTCTATTCCAAGGGATACACCTTTAATCCTCACATTGACACTATTATCCCCATTTTAGAGACGAAAAAACTGAGACACCAAAAAAGGTTACTCAAAAGTAACCAAAAAGTAACCAAAAAAGGTTACTAAATATCTTCCATTCACACAGGTTGCAAGTAGCAAAGCCAAGATTTCAAACACAGCAGGGTAACTCCGAGAGCCACCCTGCTGCATGTTGGTTGCTGGCCTGTCTCAAAAATAAGAAGATAAATTATACTAACAAGCTCTTCCTAAACTTGCAGTGCCTTTTCTGAGTTCTCAAACTAGAATGCTCCTCCCCTTAAGTATTAAACTTAAAGGTATTAAGCCACCTTTCTCTGCCCATTGAGCATTTCTAATTCATGTAATAGTATGAAAAACATTAATGATAAGATGTTAAGTAACAAAGCAGGAAACAGCATTGTGCCTTCGCTAGACTTTATGATAAAAAGAAACTTGTGTAGGTGAAAGAGCTAGAAGGAAATGCATAGTACACTAACAGTGATTGTAGCAAGGCAGTGGAGTAATTATTTTATTTTCTATACTTTCTATAATGCAGTTTTGTTCATTTAATAATGAAAAAGACTTTTTTTTTTTTTTTTTTTTTTTGAGGGAGGGAGGGAGGTGTTTTGAGCCAGGACAGAGACAAAGTCGCCTTCTTAAAATGCTGGTGCCCAGATACTTTGTTTCGTTTCTCCAGTGGGGTGAAACTGCCCTGGTAGATTGGCTGAGGTTGGTGCCCCCAAATAGCAGCGCTACCCTAGCAGGCTTCTTTGCTCCTACCTCTTCGCGAAATTCCAGCATCTTATTTGGCAGTTTGCCTTCTTAGAACACCTGCTTTCTCTAGAATTTTCGTTTTAGTTTCATCATTGCCCTAGAGTTATAAATACCAACAAGTCCACAACAGGGGCGCGTGGCTGGCTCAGTCCCGTAGAGCATTCGACTGGATCTCAGGATGAGTTTGAGCCCCATGTTGGGCGTTTACCTTTTAAAAATTAAATAAAAAAATAAATAAGTAAAAGCCTGTGACATGTAATGAGGAGTGAAGTCTGAAGTTCTGCCTAGACTTACAGCTTCACATAGAACCAAGGCCCATCATGAGCTTCCGTTCCTGGGCAGGAGCCAAGGTGAAGAATAGCAGTGGCTGGATAGGGACAGTCCCTGGGTAATCAGGAGAATAGGCTACCAAGATTCGGGAGGAATTTTCCTAGAACTGCATTGTCCTATATAATGTGTGATGTGAGTTATGTGTATGTTTAAGGTTTTTTTTTACGATTTATTTATTTATTTAGGGGGAGTGGAGGGGCAGAGAGACAGGAGAGAGAGAATTCCAAGCAGGCTCCATGCTATCCGTGCAGAGCCCTGTGTGGGGCTCAGTTTCATGAATCATGAGATCATGACCTGAGCCAAAAAACAAGAGTTGGCTGCTTAACCAGCTGAACCACCCAGGCACTCCTGTTTAAATTTTGTAGTAGCCACATTAAAAGAGAAAAAGAAGGAGCGCCTGGGTGTCTCATTTGGTTAAGCAACATGGTCATGATCTCACAGCTTGTGAGTTCGAGCCCCGCATCAGGCTCTATGCTGACAGCTCAGAGCCTGGAGCCTGCTTCAGATTCTGTGTCTCCCTCTCTCTCTGCCCCTCCCCTGCTCATGCTCATGGGCACGCAGGCTCTCTCTCTCTCTGCCTCTCTCTCTTCTCCCTCTCCCCCCTCTCAAAAATAAATAAACATTAACATTTTTAAAAAAGAAAAAATAAGTAAAATTAATTTTCTTACTATATTTTATGTATCCTGGTATATCTAAAATTAGTTATTACTTCAACATATAATTAATATAAATTTTTTTGAGATAGTTACATTCTTTTTGAGGGGATACTAAGTCTGTAAAATATACTCTGGTATGTATTTTACACCTATATCACATCTTAATTCACATGTAAAATTTTCATTGGAAATGCGTAATTGTTACTGAACATACTTGAAAGCTCTCCGAAAACTGGCTCAATTGTCAACTTCCAAATTTGAATTTTATATAAGTTAAAATTAGATAAAATTTAAAATTCAGTTTTTTGGTCATACAGGTCCTAATTCAAGTGCTCATTCATCCAGGTGGCTTGTGGCTGCTCACTGAACAGCTCTAGCATGTTGGGGTGTCTCCAGCAGCGCCTTTGTGACCCCTACAGAAAGCAGGGTAAAGGAGCTTTGCAATGTTAGCCCAGCGCCACTGCTTCATTGTGCTGGAGGTCTGTGAAGACAGTGATCCGTGTTTACAGTGGTAGACTGAGGCTCAAGAGGGCTAAATTGTTTAGTCTGAGCCACCTGTGGTAGTGGTAGAGCCAGAACCCTCTCCTGCGGGGGCCCAGGCCAGCACTCCTTCCCCAAGACTACTCTGTCCTCCTGCCCACGGGGCCTCAGAAGGTGTGTCATGTAAATACCAGCTCTGACTCAGGACGGATGAGAACGAGCCCTTCCCTTGCCTGGCTGGGCTCCCAAATCCTCTGCCCCCCCCCACAGATGGTCATCCTTGCAGGAAACGGGATATCTCAAGGCAGCCTCTGACTTCAGGAAACCCAAAGAAGATTGACTTGTACTGCCCTGTGGAAAGTTCCCCCGAGACACCTTTCCTGTGGCAGAATTGTATGCGTGCCAGGCGGAAGCTGGCTGCCATCGCGTGGGTTTGGAGTCAGGAGCCTGCAGCTGGCTACCCAGCCCTGGTGGCCCCGGCATCGGCTTCTGCCTTCCAGCTGCTGCCTAACTGGCCGGGGCCCTGTGTAATTACCCTGATGTAGCATCGCAGCGGGGAGACACGTTTGGGATGAGGAAGGGGTTTCTTGTGAAGCGCTCTGCTTCCTGCCCAGCGGCTCTCCTTTCCCAGCTGATGCAGGGCCCGCGGCCAGCCCTGTGCTCTAGAGAATTGGGATGATTCTCTCAACCGTTTCAGCAGACACAGAATTGTACTTGGGGCCAGTGTATGCCTTCGTAATTTAAGAGAAGGGGGGAGGGTGGATTTTTTTCAGTATCTTTTTTTCCCCGCCTCTCTTTCATGCTCGAAACCTTTATTTACATCAGAACTTGTGGTAGCTTATCTTCTGGGGTAGAATTGTGACACTGCAGTGGTAGGTCCAGCGAACTACACAAGCCTGTTTTCTTCTGACTTCTTTTACATGGAACATAAAGCTGAATTTGAATTCTGTACTAGAGCTCCAGCCTTCGTGGTTTGGCCCTGCGGCTTTCCAGAAGGCTTTCAGGAAGACTGGTTATGCAAGTAACATTTCCTGTTTACTCTCTTTTAATAATTAATGGCTGATGATGATGGATTGTGACCACAAAAGTGCTCAACTGTCATTTATTTGAATACACATTTGTGGTCCCACACATTCGTAGCAGCGTGCCGAATAGTTGTAGCAGACCGATTTGCACAGAAAGAATTCAACCAAGAATCTCATCAACTACAGATTATAACTACACGTACAGCTAAAAATAGCAATTGTTTGAAAGTGAAGGGTCATACAGCTAAAAATAGCGATTGTTTGAAAGTGAAGGGTCGTGGTGCCTGGGAGGCTCCTTCGGTTGAGCATCTGACTCTTGATTTTGGCTCAGGTCATGATCTCACAGTCGTGAGATCAAGCCCCGCATCAGGCTCCCCACTGAGAGTGGAGCCTCCTTACGATTCTCTCTCTCTCCCTCTGCCTCTGCCCCTCCCCCACTCATGTGCGTACACATGCTTGTGGCATGTGCTCTCTCTCTCTTTGTCTCTCTCAAAATAAATTTTAAAAAAAAGAAAGTGAAGTATCAAGAGTCTGAAGTTACAGATTCAAGGCTGAAGCTGGTGAGAAAGAATATCAGGTAGCGAGGTGCTTTTCACTATCCCTGGACGGTCTCATCTACTCATGGTTTCCGTCACTCCCTTTTGTTGACATCTCCTAAATCAATGCCCGCAGCCGAGACCATGCCCTTGAAGTCCAGAGCCCTATATCCAGCAGCCTACTAGACATCTCCAGGTTTATGACTCGCGGATTCCAAAGTCAGCATGTCCAAGATGCCCAGTCTGCACCGCCTGTAGTATGCCTCTTCCACTAAATGGTCCCGCCATCTCCCCAGTTGGCCAAGCCATAAACCTGGGTCATCCTTGACTTTTTGCTCCCCTTAACTTCTGGTTCACATGATCCTACAGGATCTGGTTCCTGCTTAGCACCTCTAGACTGTTCTCACAACTATCGATCTGGATCTTGAACCATACACAAGGTGCCACATTCTCACTCATCTGCAGGTTTCCAGTGTTCCTTCTCCCCTTTCCTCTGTTCTTGATCTTCTCAGCCGCTCCAGATCAAAGTAATTTACTGCAGGAATCCTTCTTGACCTCTACCTGTGTAGACCTGAGGAACACTCAGTACTTTTTCCATGACATTCATCATGTTGCCTGTCTTCCCTGTGCTTAGCACTCTGCCTGATCCATAATAGGTACTCAGTAAATATTTGTAGAACAATAGTTGACACTGACTGAGAACTTTGTGCCAAGTGCCTTGCTAAGTAGGTTGCCTGCATTATCTCATTTCACAAGAGTGGGGTGAGGGAGACCATCTAGGAGGCGGTGATTGGCAAAGTCCAAAAGGACATCAGATTGGTTTCAACTAGGATAAAAGTGGTGGCAAAAAGTGGGCAGATTTGAGGCATGTGTGCAGGTGGAGCCAACAGGACTTGGCAGGCGTTTGGCTGAGGGGCTGGGCAGAAGGAGTCAAGGGCAACTGCTGGGTGCTGCTGCTTCTCCTTGCTGAGGAGGGGAAGAAGGACAGAGTATGTAGGATTGTGGGGAAATAATTAAAAGTTCTCTTTGGGGGGCGCCTGGGTGGCTTAGTCGGTTAAGCGTCCGACTTGCGCTTAGGTCATGGTCTCGCGGTTCGTGGGTTCGAGCCCCGCGTCGGGCTCTGTGCTGACTGCCGGCTCAGAGCCTGGAGCCTATTTCAGAGTCTGTATCTCCCTCTCTCTCTGACCCTCCCCTGCTCACGCTGTCTATCTCTCTCACTCTCCTAGAAATAAATAAAACATTTAAAAAAAAAAAGAAAAATTAAAAAAAAAAAAGTTCTCTTTGGTATGTGTTAGGGATGAGATGCCTGTCAAATAATGAGGGAGACATGGATATATAAACTGGAATTCTGGAATAAGATCAGACAAGGCTGCAGTTCCTCATTTAGAACCCACCAGAACTGTATGAGGTAGAACTGTTGCCAGCTGAAGTAGTGTGCCCTTCTAACTCACGCAGAGTGTAAGCAGCAGGCAGGGCACTTGAACCCAGCACACCGACTACAACACCTTCCTGCTTGGTTTACACGGTGAATGGTTCCCAGTTGTAGTTTCTGTCATCCTCTGTTTCCTATGGCACACATTTCCCTGCGCCAGCTGTAGAAATTGTTTCGAAGGTCAGTCGTGCTGTACCTACTGATTTTAAACGGCATTGGGTCTACTTGCAGCCCCATAGAAGAACAGAAGAGAAGAGGAGCCAGGGACACATGGCGGACATCCCGTCCGGCTGCAGCCTTCCTTTGGCAGCTCAGGGCAGTTAACTATCATATAACAAGACAATTAGTAACTAGTTTTTGCTCTTCTTACAGAAAAGGAGTATTTCAGCTTGAAATACATAATTCAGATTTATCCCTCATAAAAGCACAGATGTGAAAAGAGCCAACTCCTTCCCTTTCATTTCACATGTCAGATGTTCATAGGTTGCATTGAGTACTCATTCATAATGGCTTATAGATGAAAGGTACTACATTTCTTGTATTTGATGACTGCAGGAAGGGAACAGCTGTAGCTGTAGACTAAGGCATGAGCTTTCTTCTAAAGGGGTGTGGGGGGGGTGCACGCTTTTAAAACTACACACACATATAAATATATGCTGATTTGAAATAACCTTCTTTTCCCATTTTATTCTAGGGATAATGATTCTTCTTGCTTCTCACCTAAGTTGAATAAGCACCTCGTGCACTTTAATCTCCTGTCGTGCCATCAGGCTGACTGAAAACAGTGTTTTGAAATCTCAGCTATAAAGACATCCTGCCAAAGTCTCCATCTTGCCTTAACAATGTTCCAGAGACTGAATAAAATGTTTGTGGGTGAAGTCAATACTTCTTCCAACCAAGAACCAGAATTTAGTGAGAAAGAAGATGATGAATGGATTCTTGTTGACTTCATAGGTAAGGTATTCTCAGCTGTTAATCATCACAGCAAAAATGGACATTCTTGCATCTCAGTTTCTGCATAAGTAAACCAGTAACTCTAAAGATTTTGAAGCCTTAAGAGTAAATAAGCAAGAATTTGTCTAAAATAATTGCAGGAAACATCCTGTGCCAGATAATCAGTCAGTGAAATTGACTGACGTCAGATCTTCCAGTTTTGCAACTCTCCTACCCTGCTCAGATCAGATGCACTTTAATAGGAAATCCTTGTAACCCACATTGCTCATCTTGTTTACTCAGTAGGATAGAAAAACCCTCTCCTGCAAAGCCACTGTCATGCATCTGATGCAATGATATGCCACACATACACGTGCACTAGGTGCTTGGAAATTACTTTATAATCATTGAGTGAATGTAAATGGTTTTGTGTCTAACACAAATGAAAGGAGAAGTGTGAACATCAGCTAACAGTATCATCTCTTCTTTTTCTGTGCTCTCAATCTGATATCATTGTGATACCCGTCCTCCCATGGGACTTCACCAACGTCTGTGGACTGTGATGCAGACACTTGCACTGGTTTCTCAGCAGCAGAAGACGAAGAAGAAGACCTCAGTGAAGAGTCCCCTACTGAGCACCCTTCAGTCTTTTCCTGTTTACCTGCATCTCTTGAGTGCTTGGCTGATCCAAGCGATTCCTGCTTCCTCCAATTTGAGTCCTGTCCCATGGAGGAGAGCTGGTTTATCACCCCTCCCCCGTGTTTTACTGCAGGTGGATTAACCACTATCAAGGTGGAAACCAGCCCTATGGAAAACCTTCTCATCGAACATCCCAGCATGTCTGTCTATGCTGTGCATAACTCCTGCCCAGCTGTCGGTGAGGCCAGCTGTGGGACTGATGACTTTCATAACCCAAGTAGCCCCAGGTACGTTGTAAGTGCAGCCGACCCTTCAACAACGTGGGTTTGAACTGCATGGGTCTATGTATACACAGAGTTGTTGTGTGTGTTTGTTTGTTTGTTTTATGAACACGGTACAGTACCATAAATGTATTTTCTGTTCCTTATGGTTTTCTTAACATTTTCTTTTCTCTGGCTTACTTTATTGTAAACACACAGTAGATAATACATATAACATGCAAAATATGTGTTAATTGGCTGTTATATTATTGGGAAGCTTCCCAGTCAGCAGTAGGCTATTAGCAGTTAAGTTTTGGGGGAGTCCAAAGTTATACACGGATTTTGAACTGCACAGGGGTTGGCGTCCCTAACCCCTGAATTGTTCAGGGGTCAACTGTATTTTATTCTGTCCACAGGCAGTCTGTTTGGCATGCATTTTGTTTGTTTCTACTACAACTCAAAGCTAATTTTTTAGAAGATGCAGAGTAATGTTAGAGATTTATGAAGGCAGGTGCATAGTGCACAAGGTAGTGAATGGTATTAAAATAATGTGTTCATTTTACATTTTCAAAAACATTCATTAGAACACAGCCCCATTATATAATACAGAACTGTTGCATTTATAGCACTCTGCTGGTGACCTGAAAGAAAAGGCTGCCATTTCTGCTAAGTGTCTTAGAATATAACTCTGGCACTTTATACACTGAGTTATTTGATATATCAAACTCAACAAGAATAGTATATTTTAAAATAAAACTCTTATTTTTGTCCAAGTGGTCTTAGCTGGGTGGCATCAAATGGCACTTAACCTCGAAAACCTGGCACATCTCAAGCATGAGTTGTTTTCCGTCTTCCAGAGGAAAGACTTCATACCCAAAAGATATTTTCTTGTTATGTGGAGTTGCCAAGGGGTCTGAAAGCCTCTGTTTGAATGGCAGATGGGTTGAGGGCCTGGAAAGGTTCAGGGAGAGCGGACCTGGTCAGTAAAGATTGATAGGTTCCCAAACAAACTTACAGAAATTCTGTGACCTCTATCCAGCAAACATGAATTTCCAGATTGCTTCCACCTGCTAAAATAAAGCCCACGGCCTTGTTAATCAGCTCACAGTCTGGCTAATCATGATGCATGTTAGTGGGATGTACCTAACATTCCCATGTTAGTGGGAATGTTTTGATGATGTTGGCACTGACTTAATTCCCTAAATACCTGACAAGGCTACAGGTGAATTGGAATCTTTGGAGCAGTTCAGAATGTTCCTGAAGTTAGTCCTGCAATCCAAAGGGCCTGTTTTTAGATTGTCCAGGCTCTAACTTGACTAACTGGATCATTGTATATATCTTCTACTATTTCCTGTTTGCCAGATATAAACAAAACCCAGGCAGCTCATTAATTTAACTTTGCTGCACTCACAAGTCTTAATATTGCAGATGATCTTGTCATCTTCTATGAGGATAAACATATCCTTTACCAAATTGAAAAATAATTTGCTTATATAGTTACCCAGGCTTTATACTGGGTAAGATCTTTGATGGGAAATGTTACTTTAACTGGCACTTTGTTCAATGCTGTAAGTTTATCAAGAAATCCGTGTCTCGGGCATTTCAACAAAAATTTAAAATAAAATTTTTTAGACATGGTATTGATTAAATTGCCATATAGTCTATTCAAATTAATTTCTTCAATTCTTAGAAATCCTTCCCACCTGATTCTGATCTCACCTCTGTGGAATTCCACTCAAGAGTTTGCCATGATTAATAGTCACTGTAAACTTACTAGCATTTGTATATTTACTTCTCAGTGTTTAAAGCATGTGTGAATGTATATATAGCACTTTGGAAATAACATTATTACAGAAACAGTACATGTGCATTGCAGAAAATTAGACAGTACAAATATGTAAAAATTAAAAATTTTTAAACAGACACTTTTACTACCTAGAGATGAATACTGTTAACACCCCTAGAGTGTATCCTTCCAGATGTTTTTCTCTGTCTTCCCACTTTACCCTAAATGGGATCCAGTTGTATATACTTGGGTAATCTGCTTCTTTAGGCAATGGTCTCCACCTTTTTTTTTCCCCCGAGTAAAATTTCATTTCATCTACTACCCAAACCATACCGTGTTTTCTGCACCAGAGCCCAGAATATTTCACCTAGTTTGTCCAGATAGGCATCCATTCCTAGACCATGCGCTGCATCTAGTTGTGTGTCTGCGGTTTTGATGCAGTCATTGTGTTCATTGTTTATGTCTTGTTTGTTTTTATATCTTGTTATATGTCTTGGTATAACATCTAGGAAAAATTTAGGAAAGTTAAACAAATACATACTTTGCCATATATAATATAGGATCAAAAGAACACCCTTAACTTCATATGAATTCCTTCTGAACATAGGAAAGTACTGCAAATTATCTTAGTTTTATAATAACTAAATCTTTTTAACATCTTTATTTCTGGATTTCAAATTCTTATTTACAAAGCCCACTAAATTCAAGATGGATTAGGTGTTACCAACATTAGGATAGCTATGTAGGAAAATATCTATATTTTCTGAGCAGGAAATAAATCATGTCTTTCAGAAGTTAGATTGCTTCCATCCTGTCTGTCCTTGGGGACATTGCATAAAGCTTGTAAGAGTAAGGTGCTTCATAATTACAATAGATGGGTTTCAGAGTGTACGTTTTATTGCATTTTGACCTTTATAAGTATTGTTTATGAAGGTTTATGTGCTATCATAATCTCAAGTAATACATGTGCCTTTAATGACCCATAGTAAACCAGTTTTAATACAGAAAATGCACCATATCCTGACAGTAAAATTAAATAGCATTTTAAATCTTACTAGTGATTTAATAGTTCACCATTTAACATTTGTAGGGCCAGGAAAAGCTGCTTATAAGACTCACTGGCACAGAGTAAGTATATTCCCTTTGAGACTGTGTGATATGTGTTATCAGTCTGAGCAGGAAGGCTAAGGACTCAGAATGCCCACCTTTTAAAAACTGCTATCTTTATATTAACTTCTTTCTATTAGTTTCTTAATGTGACCCCCTTTAGTTCTATTTTTTTAATCTTAAAAAAATAAGTGTTTTCCTCTGATAATTATAGGCACAATTTATAACTGCCCTTGATATGAAAAATAATCTTAAAACTCTTCGTGTTATGTGTTAATATAGTTTACATCTATCCTAGTGGATTAGATTTTAATATATAAGATAATGATCCTGTGGTTTGTAGCCAGATCTTAAGATGTGTTCTCCACAGGTCTTTGTAACATTTCTATGTAAATGCCATTCCAAACTGTGCCCTGTTGTGATATTAATTTTTAATAAGCAGATAGTTTTTTATCTATAAGAATGTTGAGTTTTCTTATGTATATTTCTATCACATAGAGACCTGCAGTTCGTTTCCTGGGACAGTTACTTAGAGGCGGAAAATGTGTGTGGAGGTGCACTTAGACTAGTACACCAGGGTCAGCCTGCTTCGTAACAGTGTTTGGAGTTAAGACCTGTATTCGAACCCTGGCTGTATGAAATAATAATTGTGACCTTAACATCGCCGAGCCCCAGCTTCCTGACCAGTAAAATTTGAGAATGAAAATACTTTTTAAGATTATGGCAAGAATTAAAAGCATTATGTTTGCAAATACAGATATTCAATAAATGTTAGTTTCCCTCACAGAAAAGCTTATGTGTTTGCTGCATAATTGAAATTCACTCCAAATGTAAAGCACTTTTTTAAAAAATACAGTCTACTGAATTCCTCCCCTGTGGAATATATGGCCTGTTTCTGTGAAAAGGTGGCTTCTCCTTTCTATCATTATCATTCATTGCAGTCACAAAATATAAACTTGTCTGCCAGCCATCAGACAGTAAGATGTCTTTCAAGCACAAACAAATCAGTGTGGAAAACTGAATCATTAAGTAGCTTTTTCAAGTTCCTGAATAACATACTCTGCTATTCAGTGCATCCCCGTGTTTTTCTGTTTCAGAGTGGAAGCTCAAGATGAAATGGGGCAACACATTCATTGCTATGTTACAGCTCTTGCTGCTCATACGGCTTTTCTGGAACAACCCAAGAGCTTTCGCCCTTCCCAGTGGATAAAAGAACATAGTGAGAGACAGTCTTTAAACAGAAATAGCCTTCGTCGCCAAAATCTTACCAGGGACTGCCACTCTAGGCAAGTCAAGCACAGTGGCTGGGCCGTCCATCAGCCCTGCCCACGTCAGTATAATTACTAAGAATTTCAAGGTTGATTGGTTTCTATTGGTTTGTACAGATGTGTGTGGGGGTGTGTGTACGGACAGTGAAGATGCTGTTTCTTTACAGCCAACTGATGACCAATCACATAGTTTTATCAATGTGTTTAGACACTATCTTGAAGACCAGATTTACATGCTGTGTATCACATAATGCCTTGCTTTTAACATTTACTGTTTTGTAAAATTTTCAGAATATTTTCCGAAACATATCAATACAATTACAGTGTTTGGGTGTTTTGGGATGTCTTTAAATCTATTAAGGTGTATGAGTTAGCATTCTAAAGACATTTCTTCCCAAGTACGAGAATAGGCATCTTTCAACGTCATTTTATTTTGTATTAATCAATATTTTGAGTAAGCAAAAATTTATTCTCAGGGTCAGCCATACACTTTATTGACCAGTACTTGATAATCTTTTCTGTATATAACGAATACATTTTTACACACTAACATGAGCATTAACAGGTGATAGTTGCCATGGATATAATGGAATTATGGCTGAACTTTCTCTTGGAAGAAAACTTGATATATTTCTGTGTGTACAGGTTTTGTTTTGTTTTGTTTTGTTTTTTTCCAGACTAGCCATACAGTTCATTTTGGAATTCAGGTACATTGAGTGTTAGTAAACAGTGCTTTCAGTAATTCCGATGTGACTGTGTGAAGTGGTACAGAGACATTACAAGGATCGCGGGACAGAAGCACTGTCACACGTAGAGGGAGTCCGTCAGATCTGTGAAACTGTGTTCGGGAAAATGTATGTCTCCACCTAACCCACTATTTGACTTGTTTGGATTCTTTCCTGCCGGCTCTGCCCACTTGGCACCTCGCGTCAGCTGTAAATTCAGAAGTACTTGTCCAGGCACTTTAGTGACTTCTTATTTATAATTGTCCAAGGGCAAAGAGGTAGGCTTTGTATTTCTGATACAGTGACGGAGCTTCTGGCGTGGAGCCTGCCCTGCCGAGTGGCAAGCGAGGCTGAGGAGGAATTCCTGGTGACAGCTTGTCATAGCATCTAGATGAAGAGTGATGGTTGGCTTCCTTGAGTTCTCTCTCTGTCTCTCTCTCTCTCTCTTTTTTTTTTTTTCCTAACTCAGGCTTCAGGCAGAATCTTTAACCACTTTGGCCTCTCTTTCCTCCACCAATAGGGGAGAAGTAATATTTACCTCCCTCGCGGTTGTTGTGAGGACCATGTACTGATTGAAGTGGGCCGTCCAGAACTGAACCTTGTGTGAAATTCCAGGGGCCTCTCTACTGAATCTGATGGTGGGGGTGGGGCCCACACACTTCTCCTGCCACAGCTGTTCTTCATAGTGTTGGTGCTAATGAGGCCAGGGTTCAGGGTTCGATTCACATGGAGGCCAGTTAACACAGAGAAAATCTATTTCTTTACCTCTAGCCAGTCACTTTATCGTTTTAGCAGTTGTGATGGGTTTTGCTGAGCCATCCACATTCACCAGTTTCCTCTCAGACTAAACTAAACATGGACAATCCAAAGCACATTCTACTGACAGACAGTAGTATCACCTTTGTAATCAAACAGCTTCTTTTTCCGACGCCTCTGCAACCCTAATTAAGTAAATACGTGTCTATCCAAGGTTTTCAAGGGAAAAAGCATATAGTTATGTGAAGTATTATATTTTCCAATAGCCCTGTAGCAGCTGGATGCAGGGAACTACGGGAGACTTTTCAGGTGAGGAGCTATGCTCTTTCCTGACCAGGGCTGGGAAGTCTGGAGGCGGAAGAGGTCACATGGCATCGTCAGATGGCGGTGGGAGGTGGTTCTTCCGCTGGCTGTGATGAAGTGCCAGGAATGTCTCTTTAGGACAAGAGTCTAGATCCCCTGCTCTCCTTATTCCCTTTCCATTTCAACTACCCCTTTATTTATTTGATTTCTACTTAGGGGCCAAGTCTGTAAAGTTTTGTCAAATTGAGCTAGAAGTTATTTTGTTACTATTTGTGTTTACGAGAGAGTCGAGATGTGAGGTAGAGTTTTCTTGAAGGTGTGTATGTTTTACACCATGTCTGTCTCTGGGGCCATATGTTGGTAACTTGAAAATAGACCAGCTAAATGTTTCCTGGATGTAAGCCTCTGAATACACGGGGGTCTCTTTTTTCATATATTACATGCAAGTTGTTAGTACCTCACAAGCTACAGTAGTTCAGCCATGAGAATTTGTTTGGCAGCGTGAACAGATTTGTGTATAAAAGAGCAAAGGTCTTTTTTTTTAATATTATTTTTTTCAAATTTCCGAATACCTGAAATACATCTACATCTCTGTCGGTTACTGACTTTTTGTTTGCCTTCTCTGGACCTAGTTTTTTATGGCTTACACCTGGAAAACAAATACTTTCGGTCCTAGGGATGTGTTTTTTAGGATTATCATGCCATCTGCCCTATCATACTGTGGTTTCTGTATCAGTATTGAAGGTTTCTGCCCAACATTGGCACATTGGAAGAAAGTGGTTAGATTGGAAGAAAGTGATTCTGTAATTCATTTGAAGTTCTTGGTCATTAGAGGTTTGTTAGCACCTCCCACATGTACTGCAAGGATGATTTTGACCGGTTAAGTATTCTTTGAAACGTGGCCATAATGCAATTTATTATATAAGTGAATTATTATTTTTGCTCTTGTAAATAGTAGTGGTTTACAGTGTGCTTCAGTGCATATTTCTTAAAAACTCAAGCAGTGAGAAATAAGGCCCCTATGAATTTAGTGCTCTGTTTCTACAATGATAACATATAGGATGTTACCTGGAAAGAGTCTGAAATATGCGGTGCACAAGAAATGCTTCATGGGTGAGTGAGCCCCTCAGTTTCTATGATGCACCGTGTTTCTCAAAGTTTGTGTTTCTGTTAATAAAGCATTTTATAATGTATATTCTATGTTTATTACTTTTTCTTTCTCCACTAATTATGTATTGCACTGTGAGTTGAAGATTAGCCCCGCATTATTTATCTTCTGTGGCAGTGCCTTTACATGGCTGGGCAGGTGGGGGGATTTTGTACAGCAAGGTTCACAGCGACTGGATTTTTTACTTTCTCCTCCTGTGCGCTTTTTCTACATTAATTTCCTGTACATTCTTCCAGTTCCCATGCAGACTGTTCCTGTTTACATACCTTCTCTGTTTTATCAGTACTTTGATTCTAGTGAGAACGCAGTTTGCTTAAAACTTGAGAGGGCCTGTTGTTTTTCCTTCTCACATCTGTAGAGTACACTGGTTTGTTATCTTTACATCTTCATTGAATCTGAGTGTCTTTGCTATTCCTCATCGTCCTCAAGGAAATATATGGTCTTTCTATACTCTTCAGAAAAAAAGAACAAAAAAGTGTATCTTTCTTATTCTGATTTGCTTTCACTTGGAAACAAACAAAAAAATGAAGGACTCCAGCTAGAAGATAGGCATCTAAGTTTAAATAGATTAGTGGAGAAAGTTTAAGAGTTTCCAAGTATCTTTGTTTTTAGAATCAGTTAATAGACAGCTCCTTGTACTGGAGATACTAACATATGTTTGTAATGTTACCTTAAAACTGTCTTCATTTTATAAGGCCCATTCATGCTGGCTAAATTCTTCTAGAAGTTGGGCTGTTCTCATGGATGGCTTCGCTGTCATCAGCCGTGTTCATGGATTATAAATGGCATCCTTATCTACTTATTTGAATGCTGAAATTTTTATATGAAATGCTTTATTTAGAAAACCAACCTAATACAGTGGTGTCAGCCTTGGCCGTGTACCAATGTCACTTGAAATATGATACCAATTACAATGGTTTGAGATGGAGAAAGAGGGACTGGAAAGCCTACGGATGAAGAGATCTTTTTCTATTTGCAACAGTATCCTTTGTGGGGGGAGGAGTGGTTAGTAGTCAGAGGAAGGCAGCTTAAGTGGATATTTTGTTATCATTTAGAATTTTCCTTACAATATATTTTTTTAATTGTATAATTATTAAATGCCCCATTTTGCTCTGTATTTGCCTGAAGTTTTAGTATTTGTTTTCTAGATGGACTTCTAAAAACCAAATCAGTACTTGGGGAGTTAGATGTGTGTGTATCTAAGTTTGATGTGTATGAGTGGTTTTGCTTGCTTTTTGGTTGTGTTTTCCTCCAGAGGTTTGGAACTTTAATCAATAATTGTGTGTTACTATTTTTTTTTTTTTAAGTGGCTTGGGTTTTTGTCTCAAGTAAAATTGTGAACACATTTGCTTTTCAAGGACAGGGCATCAGTTATAGAGACTGAAGAGTATTGTAGATTGTACTATGTGCCTTCTCCATGTATTGAACACAAATTTTTCTCAACTTGAAAACTCAAAAGGGACATTTGGTTAGATTACATACTGTACATCATCTATGCATAAATGGCAGCTTGTTTTCTTGAGCCACTATCTAAATTTTTTTCTGTTTTTATAGAAATTTTTATACTGAATGGTTCATAGATGGTCAGTTTTATACACAGACTAAACAATACAGCACTTTGCCAAAAATAAGTGTAGCATTGCTTAAACATTGTGTATTAACACCAGTTCTTTGTAATTGGGTTCAGTGGTGCATTTTGCACTACTTGGAGTTAAGGTTTTTAATTTGTCAGTAAATAAAATGTTCTTTAACTTCACATTCGTCAGATTCTCTTATTTTATCTTTATGGTCATCAGCCTTCAAACTAGATACAACTGAATTAAATTACTTGATGTTTAGTTTTACTTGCCCAGAGGTATGTTTACTATGTACTGTAAATATTTCACCTGAGATGCATGAACATTAAGTAAACATGAATTTGAGAATGATACTTTTTCCTTCCGACCGATCTATGTTTAAAAAAAAAAAGAAAAAGAGGGGCGCCTGGGTGGCTTAGTTGGTTAAGCGTCCGACTTTTGCTTAGGTCATGATCTCGCGGTTCATGGGTTCGAGCCCCGCGTCGGGCTCTGTGCTGACTGCCGGCTCAGAGCCTGGAGCCTGTTTCAATCTGTGACTCCCTCTCTCTCTGACCCTCCCCTGCTCACGCTGTCTCTCTCTCTCCTAGAAATAAATAAAACATAAAAAAAAATAATTTTAAAAAGTTTATTTATTTTGAGAGAGAGAGAGCATGAGCAGGGGAGGGGCAGAGAGAGAGACACACACACACAGAATCCAAAGCAGGCTCCAGGATCCAAGTTGTGAGCACAGAGCCCTACATGAGGCTCAAACCCAGAAACTGTGAGATCATGACCTGAGCTGAAGTCCAATACTTAACCAACTGAGCCACCCAGGTGTCCCCAAATACAGAATTTGATACACTGGTTCTTAGTCTTTCTAAAGCCAGGTTGGCAAATTCTCAATACTCTTTCCCAGATAAATACAGCCACAATCTTATATAAACATTTTAAGGTAATATGAACATTTCTGATGTCCATTAATGCACTTACTGTGGAGCTCTAGCTTAATTAGACCAGTAAACATTCAGAGAGCCCAAAGAATATCTCCCATGTCAATGAATCCTTGGGGAAGCTCTTCATTCTAGAACTAGCCTATTTCAAGACAAATTTTTATCAGTTCCTGGAACTCTGGGCTGATGTGTTAAGATTGGGAATGGACATGGAGAGGGGTCACCCCAAATATGGAAAGAGCATCTTGAAATAAAAGGCCCTACCCTGGATTGGCAGATGAGTGGTCATTGCTGAGAAGTGTTTACCAGGCCTACTAACAAGGTGAAGGAGTGGCTGATATCTAGCAGCTTCGTCGCATCTCAAGGGCAGCGACTGCATGGAAACTGAAAGGCAACTCAAGTGAAGGTGTTTTGTGGGGATGGGCATGTCAAAGTTTCAGTTTAACATGTGCCTTAAGATCATCTAGCTCCTGGGGTGCCTGGGTGGTTCAGTCGGTTAAGCATCTCACTCTTGATTTCAGCTCAGGCCATGATTGTAAGATTGAGCACTGAGTCCCACTCTGTGCCAACAGTGCAGAGCCTGCTTGGGATTCTCTCTCTCCTCACTCTGCCTCTGCTCCTCCCTTTCTGTATCTCTTTGTCTCAAAGTAAATAAATAAACATTAAAAAATAAAAAAGTTATCTAGCTCCTTTGTACTAACCAGAAGGTTATTCATTGCATCGTTATCTGTATATACAATATATTGAAAGCCACCTAAATTCTTATACAGGGGAGAATGATTGAAAATATTATGGCACACCAAACACTATAAAACATCTAGGAATAAACCTAACTAAAGATGTAAAAGGTCTGTATACTGACAACTAGAAAGCTTATGAAAGAAATTGAAGAAGACACAAAGAAATGGAAAAACATTCCATGCTCATGGATTGGAAGAAAAAATATTGTTAAAATGTCAGTACCTCCCAAACCAATCTACACATTCATCACAAACCCTATCAACACTAGTATTCTTCACAGAGCTAGAACAAACAATCCTAAAATTTGTATGGAAACGCAAAGGACCCCCAGTAGCCAAAGTAATGTTGAAAAAGAAAACCAAAGCTAGAGGCATCACAGTCCCGGACTCTAACCTGTATTATAAAGCTGTAATCATCAGGACAGTGTAGTATTGCCACCAAAACAGACACATAGATCAATGGAATAGAATAGAGAACCCCAAAATGGACCCACAAGTACATGGCCAACTATCTTCAACAAAGCAGGAAAGTGTATCCGATGGAAAAAATTATCATTAGCAAATGGTGCTGGGAGAACTGGACAGCAGCATGCGGAAGAATAAAACCGGACCACTTTCTTACACCATACACAAAAATACAAAATGGATGAAAGGCCTAAATGTGAGTCAGGAAATCGTCAAAACAGGCAGCAACTTCTTACTTGACATGTCTCCAGAGGCAAAGGAAGTGAAAGCAAAAATGAACTATTGGGACCTCATCAAATCAAAGGCTTCTGCACAGAAAAACAGTTAACAAAACTAAAAGGCAATCAATGGAATGGGAGAAGATACTCATAAATGACCTATCAGATAAAGGGGTAGTATTAAAACTCTGTAAAGAACTTACCAAACTTAGTACCCAAAAACAAATAATCTAGTGGAGAAATGGGCAAAAAACCTGAATAGACACTTTTCCAAATAAGACATCCAGATGGCAAACAGATGCACGAAAAGATACTCAACATCACTCATCAGAGAACTATAAATCAAAACCACAAAACTATAAATCAAAACTGGTCAGAATGTGTAGTTAATTTTAGCTACTCAGGAAACAACAGATGTTGGAGAGGATGTGGAGAAAGGAGAACCCTTTTGCACTGCTGGTGGGAATGCAAACTTGTGCAGCCACTCTGGAAAACAGTGTGGAGGTTCCTCAAAAAAATGAAAAATAGAACTACCGTATGACCCAGCAATTGTACTACAAGGAATTTATCTAAAGAACACAAAAATGCTGATTTGAAGGGGCACATGTACCTTAATGTTTATAGCAGCACTATCAACCATAGCCAAAGTATGGAAAGAGCCCAAATGTCCATCAACTGATGAATGGATTAAGAAGATGTCGTACACACACACACACACACACACACACACACACACACAATGGACTACTACTTGGCAATGAAAAAGAATGAAATCCTGCCATTTGCAACAATGTGGATGGAACTAGAGGGTATTATGCTAAGCGAAATAAGTCAGAGAAAGATCTATGATTTCACTCATCTGTGGAATTTGAGACACTCAAATAAATAAATATAGGGGGAAGAAAGGAAAAATAAGACAAAAACAGAGAGGGAGGCAAACCATAAGAGACTCTTAAATACAGAGAATAGACAGTGTTGGTGGAGGGGAAGTGGGTGGGGAGATGGGTTAAATGGGTGATGGGCATTAAGGAGGGCACTTTTCAGGATAAGCACTGGGTGTCATATTTAAGAGATGAAACACTGGGTCCTACTCCTAAAGTCAAGGCTATACTGTATGTTAACTAACTTAGAAAGAAAGAAAGGAAAGAAGGAAGGAAGGAAAGAAAGAATAAATGAATATTAAGTGCTAAAAATAGAAGGAAACAATATATTATGGCACATCCACACAATGGACGTCTATACGCATCAATCCAAAAAAAATTGAGGATAAGCTCTACGGATTGATCTGGATTTCTGAGACTCTTAATTGAAAAAAGCAAAGTGCAAAAGAGTTTAGTAAGCTGCCCTACATGTAAGAAAGAACATAAGAATACACGCATATCCACTTGTTTGTGCAGAATACTGGCAGAATAAGCCAGAAGCTAAAGAGACTGGTCACCTACAGATGATGGGTAAAAAAGAGCTGGACAGAAGGGAGGAGGTGGAGCAGGTCTGTGAGGGTGAGGGCGTTCCTCATTTCTCTGACCATCCCCGTTTGTACAACTTCGGCTTTTAAAATTTTTTTTAATGTTTTTTATTTATTTCTAGGAGAGAGAGAGAGACAGCATGAGCAGGGGAGGGTCAGAGAGAGAGGGAGTCACAGATTGAAACAGGCTCCAGGCTCTGAGCCGGCAGTCAGCACAGAGCCCGACGCGGGGCTCGAACCCACGAACCATGAGATCATGACCTAAGCAAAAGTCGGACGCTTAACCGACTAAGCCACCCAGGCGCCCCACAACTTTGGCTTTTAAAACCATAGAAATGCTTCCAACACCTCCCAATAAAAAGTGAAAATCAATCAGGGTGTGTAGGGGGGAGAAGAAGAACCCCAAAGGTGAAGCAAGAGCAATCGAACCTAACCGTTAGAAACGAGTACATAACCACAAAGGGGCGGGAGGAGAACTAAGCTACAGGAAGTTGGTATTTTGACCAGGTATGTAAAGCTGGGACAAAACTGCACAAATAACCTGCACTAATTAGTAAATCGATTTCTCACAGACAGAGCAGTGAGACATAACAATTCCGTCTTATTTTATGTGTATGCCATGACTGAACAGTGGAAGTGTGATAGAAAATGAGAGCCAGGTTTCTCACAGTCTTAGATGGTGGACACCCATCTAAGACGACCTCTGTAAGTTACAGCTTCTACAACCAGCCCCTTCCCCTTCAGTGAGGGCTGAACCTGTAACTTCTCACCAGTAGGATATGACAAAGGGGGTGTTGCTCCTAGATTAGGTTACATTCTACGGCAAAGGTAGGGGTTTTGTGGATGTAATCATGGCCTTCATCAGTTGACCTTAAGATCAAAGGAGATTCTCCTCAATGGAACTGACTAATCAGGCAAACGCTGAAAGAGAGGCTAGGGGTCACAGACTTGAAGCAGTAGAGACTCTCTTTCCATTGCTGGCTTTGAAAGAGACAGCTGCTGTGAATTCTATAGCTACAAAGAAATCCATCTGCCGGTGACCCAGAGAACATGGGGCAGATACTTCCTCCGTCAATCCAGTACCACTACCTCCATGTAGCCCTTTCTCCCACTTTACGTGCTTCAAGTTACTAGAAATATTCAGGCTGCCACCCTCTTTCTCTTGGCCACTATCCCTCCGTCCAGTCTAGACACCTTTCTGCACCATTTGGCCATTCTCATGGACTGCATGCTCAACGGAATCTCTTATCTTTCTGACGTGCCAGCTCTGCCAATCTCCAACTTCATGTCAACCTCAGTCCAGGACTTTGTTCCTATGCTTGAGCTGCCCAAGAGTTACTGGAGAAAAATCACACAATTGTG